AACCTACATCATTGTGGTGAATACATTTGCCCCCTTGCTAGTTACCCTCCTAACGCTTAATCACCCTTCAAAATACCACCGTTTAACCAAAAAGCCTGGAAGGCATATCCACTAAACATTTCTGACTTCAATTCACCTGTTTTTCTATAATGCAACTAGAAAAAAGCATGCCGCCACCCGAAGTATTCAAAAATGTGCTGCCTACACGATTTAGTTATTCCCACAAACAGGAAAGCAAATACATAGCCCAATGAATCACCCCGGTGACCAATATCAGAGGCCTTAAAATCACCAACTTGGTTGAGTCCCGAGATCAGAAACCGAAGCAGCTGCACCGATGATAGCGAAATCCAGCACAAGCAAAGGACGCACGCCACGCAGAATGCGATAGACGCGACAACCCCAAGTTCAGACCATCAGCTGAAGCCCCAAAACCTGTTTGCGCGCACGGCAAGGCCGAACACGCCATGCCGACGCCCTACATTTGACGATTAACCCACGGACGAGGACCACGACTGGTCCCTAACTGAAACCAGCAGCAACTGCCCGTCCCAACAACTAACCTTGAGATTTCTCACATGCCAGTCATTCCCAAAGAGATAAGACCACAAAGATGAATAAGCCCCGACGTTTATTTATGAATGCAAAAATTAACAAGGAACCACGCTAGATAAGTGCCGAAGCGAGAGCCTCCACCTAGAAAAAAAAGAACCTAAAGACTACATGAAAAACAATCAGGCCTGTTGAGCTTGACCATCGTTAATGATCAGTAAAATAATACTTCATCAGATACGTACCTTAGGGGGGATACCATAGAGCGCAAGAACCTAAACAAAAGAGACGATTTAACAGAATGCGGACATATGATTATGGGAAAAACTGTGCATAACATAAACTTGATGTGGTTTGGACAACCAAGTGAATGAAAGTCAAACACAAACGATGTCAAACATTTATTTTGCGTTCGTACGAGACACAAGTTAAACACTTGTGCCAGATACCAAACGCTGAGCTGAATTACAGATATCACACTCACATTTCATCATGGGTGTCCCAGCATGGACTGCCCCCGTTGCTACTCCAGGCCACTGATCAGGCGCTAAAAGAGAAAGCAGACAATAGTTATTGTGTAAATGATCAGGCCTATCATTAGAAAATCACGGCTCAACGTATTGGCTCAGATTTTTTCATCACCGTTACCTTAAGGCTGCAGCAGTGTAAGACGAATGTAAACCCATGAGGTTCTATCTTCGAACTAAAGAGAAAAAAACCAAACTAATACCACTATGATCAGATACTATCTAGCAAAGGATTGTCTGCATGAAAGCAGATACCCTGGTCTCATCAAACCACAACATACCGAAGGGCATCAGAACAAAACCTTAAAGCCACGTGCGAGACCCCACATGCCCCACCACGCCTGATTCATCAGAGACTTTAAACAAAGAAGGCCAATATTTCAAATATGCTGAGTTTGAAATTGGCTCACGCCAACTACATCAAAAATCACTTTTTTTAAAGGCAATGTGCGCCTGATGGTGTGATATTGATTATTATTTTAAGGATATCAATGATATGGGCTTAGTTTAGGGCCTCTTAGTGTTTCGTAAATGCAGCTTTATAGTATCGAAATGTGACGCACTGGTTCAGTCAACTACACAATGTAGCCTTTTTTATTATCGTCGAATTACTTCTCATGATCCATTACGGTGGTCCAAAGTCCGTGGCATGACGATTTCTCGCTAATGTCATCATACGGAGAGCCCATGCGTGGCCTGGAACTGATGCAATTTTCCATCACTGAGCAAGTTTAATTGTGTATTAGATCTTCAGTGTTGTCCATC